AACTGAATCACATCAAGCAATGATTTACTAATTTATGATGAAGTCATTTACTTTTTAAATAAAGTATTTTTGAGGCAGTTTAGTCATTTTGCCTTCAAGCTTTCAAGGATAACTTAATAGCATGAAAACTATTTAGCCTGTATAGTTTGTTTCTTTAAGATGTGTTTATTGAAGTGTTGTGTATAGATTTATGAATAGTTGCTAAAATAATAGAAATTAGATGCATGTATTGTTGTCATCGGGGTTATTCCATCTCAAGTCAGCACATTCTTAGAACAATTTCTGCTTGACCATCTCTGATTTGCCTGAAAATTTTATAGCATTATCTATGGATGTTTCTAAAGATATTAATAAAGACATTCATAAAATGTTATTTATTGTTTATTTAAAAATTGCCCGTCAACCCACTGTTATCGTGTTTTTTCCTACACTGAAATTTGAGGCTATGTTTAGATGACAGCATTTCAGGAACTATTGAAGATGTTAGCCTGAAATTTCACATTTCACAGATACTATTTTTAATATTTATAGTTTATGATTTTAGAAAAAACGAAAATAAGGCCCCAAATGATGTGAGATGGAATAAACTGAATCTGATCATACTCCCTTGTTTTGAGCAGGAGGCTGTCCAGTGTGTGGATGAGCTCGACTTGGGCTCTCAGCTGAACATCTTTGTGCACGTTGGGGTGGAGTCGACCCTGGAGCGCAGTCAGATCACACGGGACCACATGGGCCAGCTCCTCTTCCAGCTGGTGCAGCAGGGAATCCTGCCTAAACCCCAGTTCTACAAAGGGTCAGTTCACTTGCTTAATGACAGTTTCTGTGGATGGGAAGCTGACAGTCTGCATGCCACTTGTGTTTTTCTGCAAAGTGGGAATATCGATTGAAATACTTCTGCACATAATAGATGTTCGTTTTACCCCGTTTAATTCCATCCAAGCTGTTGCTTTCTAATGATTATATGGCAAAAGTACCTTGAACATAAGAGTCCGTTTTTATTTGGTGCAGCCTTATTGAGAGTTGAGTGGGAAAAGAAAAATTTGAAAGTGTTCTGCCTGTGGTGGTACACCCCCCTTATTTTTATCTGGTGTTATGTGTCATCAGCTCTCTGTCGCATGTTAAATCAGAAATGCAAAGATATTCGAAGATTGATCATTTTCTAGCTTTGATAAAGAATTGTAAAAGAATAGATCTGTTCCAACTTGTAGCCATCATGTATTGTATTTTAACAATCTGTGAATGCAGTTGAAACACATTGGTAACTATGAGAAAAACTGAATCTGTCAAGGTGAATCTGGGGATATACTTTTAAACTAGGCAGTCAGAGAGCACAGCACTCACATTCAAGGCCAATGCATTATCTTGCAATTTTAAGCAAAGTGATTGAGAGCAAAAGTAAACAGATTCTTCCTTCCCTCAGGCTCCACCTCTCCACCAAGTGTCATGCATTTCAGTTTGGTTGTTTTTGTGTAATCTTGCAGACAGACAAACTGCACTGAGAGCATACTTCTGTCTTGCCTCAGCAGAGAAAAAAACATTGGTGTGAAAATACTGTAATTTCTGAGTAGGCCTCTAGGTTGTTTTTTTTTTTCTTCCATTCAGAAAGGGTTGTTTTTCTCTTGAATTGTAGAGGATAATAAAATATCAACCAGAGTGCTGTTCACTTCCCTTTCTGATGTATTTTTCTGTGTACTCTGCTTTTTTTATATATATGAAAAGAAAACATTATTAAGCATTGTGTCTTTGGTCTTAGTCAGTTTTGTCGGTTCATCCCAACATATTAAACACTCTCAAACAAAAAGTAGAACAAAATGGCGGATGACAAGCAAAGCCGATTATTTCACATTTTCAGTGACTTAAACGTTTTCTTCTTCTTGACTGTTAACTACAATATTTTGTGCTCAAAATATAGATGCTTGACTGCTTTTTGGAACAGTACCATGTCTAAGCACCGCTGCATCCTCGTCTTTTCTCAGGTTTGCAGACACGCTGGAGCAAGCGGACGACATGGCCATCGACATTCCCCACATCTGGCTGTACCTGGCCGAGCTGCTCAGCCCTGTGCTGAAGGAGGGGGGCTTCTCTATGAGAGAGCTCTTTAGGTACTGAAATGTGTGTTTTGTACTCAAATCAAAGGAACAGGTGGTGTGCTTTGTTCACTAAAAAAAAGTCCACCTTTTTATCAGTTGTGCTGTAGTCATCCATCACCAACATTTTCACCCCTTTTTTTTTTATTTACCACCACTTAATGTTCACTCTTTCCCGTGAAGAGGATAAAAATAACTTTCAAAGTCACAGACATATTATTATTTGGTTAACTTGTTTCTTGGTTTGCTATGTTTCGCATGTTTGCTTTAAACAAAGCTTTGTATAAAAGAAAAAAAAATGCATACTTAATCTGTCATCTGTTTTTTCACAGTGAATTAAGCAAACCTTTGCTTCCTGTGGGAAGAGCCGGGATCTTAATTTCTGAAATACTGCACATACTATGCAAACAAATGGTAAGCAACACTTTGATCTGTTGTTACTTTTCCCCCCTTTATACATAGATTGATTTTACCTGTCTTTTATTCTGAAGCCGGTGGAGGGTAGTCACTAGCTCAATTGTAGATCCAATTGTACGCACTTAATGTGAAATATATATCAAGACTAATGATAGATTAAAAATATATGTTATTCATTGGTGGACTACAGTGGATTTTTTGGGATCATTCATTCACGTGTATATTCCTATTTAGTAACAATTTTTTAATGTAAATCCCAGTGAAATCTACCATGCTACTTCAAGCAGCCACACATCAACATTGAGCAGATTAGCTATGCAAAAGAAAGCTATTTTTTCTTTTTTCTTTTTTTTTTTAAATTGTAATATTTATTTATTCAGCAAATAAGTACCTTGCATTATATTTTAGTATACATCTGCTTTTTACCATGTCAAAACTGGATGAATGTAGCAGAAGACAGCTGTGATGTTGTCTTGTCTTGTTTTCCACAGAGCCATAGGACTGTGGGTTCTCTGTGGAGGGAATCTGGCCTCAACTGGAGCGACGTTCTACCAGAGGGAGAAGATGTCCAGGCTTTCATCTCACAACAGGTCGGTGATGCAGGTCTCCAATCAAGTTATGACATTCAGTACTAGAGGAAAAGTCAACATTTACCAGCTGATGTAGCACAATTTCTAACATCTTCCTTTTGTTTTTCTCATCGTATCCCGTCCTCTCATCTTCGCACCAACAGAAACTCCAGTTCGTTCAGTCGGACAGCTCCAGTCCTGAGGCGCCTTTGTCTAAAAAGATCTTGGCCCCCGAGGAGCTGAGCCGACAGCTGGAGAAACTCCTCTTGGAAGACATGGCCAGTGACGAGCAGATCTTTGACTGGGTAGAGGTATGAGAAGCAACATTTCTCTGGAGCAAACATCACAAAGACGCTCGTTTATAATTTGTTATTAACTGTTAAACATTAAAGAGTGGCATAAGAAACAGCCATCATGTGTGGATTTTTTTTGTTTGTTTTTCGTGTTGTTATTTGCCTTTATTTACTCCAGACAGTGTTACTGACAGCAGTGTCTGATACTCACACATTTGCACCTGGAAGCTGCCTAGTACAACGTCGGGTGTTGAAGGCTTTTCCTCAAGGGCACCTCAGTGGTGTTGTTTCACATTCCTACTCAGATTTCCAAAATGTTTACTTCTAAAACAGTGCTGGTGCTGATGGGAGCCACAAAATAACTTTTGAGTTGAAATGTTTTTTAGAGCTTAACCCATAAATCAGATCATTTCTGGATTATCGCAGATGTGGTGGCTGAAGATCAACAGCAGAGAAAAGCCCAACTAGTTCTGTGGTCAATTAAAAACAGAGGCAATGTAAAACTGAGTATATTGCTGGCCAAAGTAAAAAGAAACCCACAAATCTCAGGGATCCATATTAAGATTTTTGTTTATCTTATGTGTGTGTGTGCGTGTGCGTGTGTGTGTGTGTGTGTGTGTGATCTGTATCGACTTCATAAATCCACGCTATCATTTTTTACAGAGTGGAATTTAGTGCATCACAAATGAACTAGTAGATGTGACACAAGTCCAATGAGTGATTTTTATTTGACCTGCTATTATAGCAGCTGATTCCCCACAGGTGGGCAGCTGTGTTAGCACACTGATACCAGGGCTAGTGTTTAATGCCTCTTGTTTACCTGTGAAGTATGTTAAAGCAAGACACTGAGTCCCAATTACTCCTGTTGGTCAGACCAGCACGTTATACGGTGGCTTGCTGCCATTAGTGTATGTGTGAATAAAACTACAAAGCACTTTAGATAAATGTGCTACATCAATGTCCTTTTACCGTTTTACAGCTGTTCTTGCTGTGACTCAGACAGTCTAGTTCATAAGAGAGCAGAGCACCAGATCCTGCCTGGACAAGTAGCTGTCAGATGACTGGGTGGATAGCAGAGCGTAACAAGGCTGCCATGGTTGAAGTTGGAAAGTTTGTATGGAAGACATCATCCACAAAAAAATACTACACGGTGCAAAGAAAAATCATTGCAAACACTTTTCCTGTTGTATACACAGTTATGTGGACATGGAGGATTTCTTTTTACTACTCCACAGTCCAGGTATCCCACTTGTGTATCCTGAACAAGACATGGTGCTTCATTTGGCGCCTATCATGTTGTGTTTCTTTGAAATGGTTTCCTGTTCTTCAGCACCATCGCTGCCAAGCTGAGCCACATGACACTGACAAACAGTTTTGTTTCCCCCCCCACCCCACCCCCTCCTGTGCTCCATTTCCCAGGCTAACCTAGATGAATCTCAGATGAGCTCGTCTCCCTTCCTGAGGGCTCTGATGACAGCTGTGTGTAAGGCCGCAGTGAAAGGTAAGCACTCCAGCACCTGGAGGAGACACTTCCCCGTTCTGCTGAAGTCGCACCGCTGATTGCAATATTTACACTCTGCCAAACCCTGAGCGGAGCAGCTCGGCATGCTCTCACTCTGCCTCCTGCCTTATTGCACAGATGATAACACCAGCTGTCGAGTGGACACGGCCATCATCCAGAGGAGATTGCCTGTATTACTCAAGTACCTTAACTCAGACACTGAGCGACAGCTGCAAGCACTTTATGCACTTCAGGCGCTGATCGTTGCCCTCGATCAGCCTCCAAGTAAGTACTGCATCATAGTTTACTCCTCCTAATGACTCTTGTAGATACAGTTTTCCTTACACCTTCCTTTTTTTTCCCTCAGTGATAACAATTGTGAAAACTGTTAAATCCATTTCTTAGCTGTATAAATGTAGAGAATGTAGCTGGTCTAAAGCTGATGATTGTGACACCTGATTTTCAGCAGCAGAGTAAGTTTGCATTGTTGTCAGAAGATTGCAGATGTCATTCTTCTTCTTCAGTTCTGGTTTCCAATTAAAACCCTTATGGCTAAATTTCTCCAATATTACAACTTGCCACTGTGTAGCATAGAGTAGTTTCAGTGTTTGAGCAGAGTTATAGGTGAGTTGGTGTGCTCTGGCTGCAGCGAGTGGGAAGGAGTGAGTCGAGTGAGAGGCAGGGACTTCGTGCACAGTCCAGAGGAAGCAACAGCGTAAAGTTTACATTGAAGACATTTTACTGAGAGATTTTTTTCCCCAAAAAATGACTTCCAAATGTGTGATTTTGATACACAGAAATGAGTTTTTAGGGGTTTAATCAGTGACTGGAGAGGGAGTTTAATCACTTGAGGCATCATTACAACTTGGGCACCTTTGCATTCAAGCTACAGTCAGGTTCCTTATGAGTAATAAAGTGATTTAATCTACTTACAGAAAAAAGGTAGTTGTATTTTGGTTGTATGGACAAGCAGGTGGACAGTGCTGATAGTCGGTACTTGTGCACAATAAGCTGAATGCAGTGACATTTCCAGATTTCAGCAGAGAAGGTGAATTACAGCAATAAGCACAGAAGATCTGAAGGCAGATTTATTTTCTTTGTGTGTAAAACATGGAAAATATAGTGATGCTGCTATTGATGTGATGCACAACACATGCGTTTCATCGTGCTCTGAATATGTTTTATCTTGTTCTGCTGATTTCGATTCACATGTAATGAAAGTATTACTGAGCTGTAACACTTTTCCACAGTCTTCAGATTTGACACCAGCACGTTTAGCTTCCATCACAGTCGTGTAAAACAGGTCTGACAGGAGCTCTACACCGAGGAGGTGCTACATTGCACAGAAAGTCTAGTACAGCTCATCAACATTTTAACCATACCTGACTGCTGCACACACTGCATATCACACAAGCTTCACATGTATTTCAGCTTTGTGTGCCTAATTTCATGTGATGAAAACCTGTCAGAGGGCAGCAGGCTGACGGTTAAAAAAAACTCCCTCTGTCTTGCAGACCTTCTCCGGATGTTCTTTGACTGTCTGTATGACGAGGACGTCATCTCGGAGGACGCTTTCTACAAGTGGGAGACGAGCAAAGACCCTGCCGAGCAGCAGGGTAAAGGCGTGGCCCTCAAGTCTGTCACGGCCTTCTTCACCTGGCTGCGGGAGGCGGAGGAGGAGTCGGAAGACAATTGACGAGGGAGACACCCGGGGACACGACGTAGTAGAACTGCATCCTTACAGTAGAACAAACTTTCAAAATGGGTGCGTGGGCAGGACGACATGTTTACGGCTGGAATTTTTTTCTGCGGTACGGTTCTGAAACATGCCGCCATTTTGAGTTTGGATTCCAACGGCGGAAGCACTAAATACCTGTATTATACATAGAAAATATTTTTGTTTTAAATTTTAACTTACTTTTCTTTTGTTACTTTTTAAGAAGAGACTTAAAAGATACATAGGTTCTGGACTCTTTAATTTATTATTTTTTTAAGGACTGCAAATATGAAAGTTATTTAACATTTGCAGATGCTCACAATGAGAACAAGACAACAAATAACAATATAATTAATTATGATAACAAAATAATAATTGTGAAATAAATAGCCTCCCTGGATTCCACACTGTTTGGTTTAAAACAGGGTAAAGCAAAATTATTTTGGGATGAAGGGGAAGCAGAGATTTAAAAAAAAAAAAAAGGAGTGAATGCACAGGAACTATTAATGTTGTCCAAGGTCAAAGGTTATCTTGTAATAACCACAAAGTGTTTCCCTCAGCCTTGGCTTGCTCTGCGTTGATTTGTACATACGCCTCATGAGAGGTAAAGGTATGCATTCAAGAAGCGATGCAAAGTCAGTCCACAGAACTGTCACACAAACGCAGACGAACAAACCGGATACATTCAGATGACATGAGCAAAAATGCAACTTTAAAAAGCAAATGGCCAGGGTCGCTGAACATGAAATGCTTGTAATACTTAAGACCTACGGAGCAGACTAAAGCTTGTAAATACATTAAAGACAAAAAAGGTATTTAAAAAAAAAAAACCTGCAGATTCTCATGATTTCTTCTTTTGGGTGTTGAAGGTGTTTACTTAATGTGTGATGTGTGCCTAATAAACTGAGCCGGTGTTTTCAGTTTTCCCATTTTGGACCAAGAAAAGCTGATTGATCTGACTGGAAGGAGCAGCTGGAGTCTCTGGAAGCCATTGATTTGGTCTGCTGAGCCCCTGGAGCATCAACAATCACGATGGATTAACCTACAATCAGTGTGCTGGCTTTGAAATTGTTGTGCTTCTTTTCTTTCTTGTGTCTGACACATACGGTCGTATTTATTTCACAATGTCAATGCAGTCACATGCCTATCTTATCACCAGATGTGGTTTGACTGTTTGGATCTCTTCGTTTATTAAGTTTTCTTGATGGATTGCCTTACAACCTAAAAAACACTAGAGCTAAAATGATTTAATCGATTATATCAATCAACAGAATTTATTGACATCATTGAAGTCTCTTTTTTTTCCAGCAAAAAAGCCAAATATTTTTTAGATGCAGCTTCCTAATCGTGAGAATTTTCTGCTTTTCAGATTGTTGATTGAACTAAATCATTGTTAAAGTCACCTAGCGCTTTAGAAGGAATTGAGAAAATGATCGGCAGTATGTTCTAAAATTATTATAGTTACTTGTGTATTGTTAGATCTGATTACTTTGCCAGCATTAGCCTCTTTTTTTTTTTCCAGGTTCCACTAATTTCTGGTTGTCAACGTGATTTTCTATGGAGAGTGTCATGTTCCTTGGTTAGCTAAATCAAAATACTCAACTTTTCTGGTAATATTCAAAGTTTAATGTGTCGTTTACGTCACTAATTAGCCAGTAATACACTTTTTCTATTGTTGGTATGTAAAAACTACAACTCCCATGAGTTTTCACCTTAGACATTTAGTTGAAGTCTCATCACTGCTGTAGTTTTTGAATGCAGATAAAGTAATAATTGGTTTGTCGTGGTTCAAGTAATGAGCGCTGACCATCTCAGTATTGCCTCTGAGCTTTTTAGGTAGAACACTAAAAAAAAGAAAAATCTTTATGAGTAAATACATTGTTAGCTAGCCTGTTTCCCAGTCAACAGAATTGACATTAGATGTATCTGCATTGCATTTCAGACTTAAAATATCAATAATTACATTTCAGAAATACCCATTGAGTATGAGAAAACTAACTCTAGACATGAAATCTGAATTCCAGAGTTCTTCATTAAAATTCATTAGTCAAAACTCAAATGAAAGATATCTTTAACTCAGCATTAATGTGGATATCTCAAACCACGGTATTACTAGCTTAAGTTGAATTACAAATATCTGTATTTGTAGTTATGACTAGTCAAAATTATGAACATATCTAGAATGTAAATTATTGCTAACAGGAATATACAAATGAAAAATCATCTAAGGAGATTGGGGAGGGGAAAAAAAGTTTTAATTGTCATTATACTTTGTATTTCTAAAACATGTTCGATTGTTCAGACTATTTTGAAAGGTCTGCAGTAACAATAGGAATTCTGACTGGTCAGATCCAACTTTGTTTGTCAAACTAATTACTAAGTAATAATTAATAAGTAGTATTCTACTTTATAGTTTGTTGTCACAGAACCATAAAAAATATTCTCTCTGTGGCTTATTTTGATTTTGATTCCTTACATATATTTGTGGGTTGATTGTTTGGTTTCTTGGTGTCTTGATATTTTAAAAGCCATTGCATGTTTTCTTTTCTCTCTTTTTCTTTATTTTATTTTTTAATAGGCATGAGGGTTTTTCTATCTTGTTCTCTTTTTTGTTTATTTTTGAAGCTTTTTGTTGCTGTTTGTCTTATTTAGTTTTTTTGTTGTTGTTTCTTATTTTTTTGTTTTCTATTAGGCTTTTTGTTGTAATTTTACTTAGTTGTTCTCAATAGCCAAAGTTTTTTTTTCTTGTTTTCTTTTTGCCCCGATAATATCTTTTGTGTTAGTTTGCGTTAGTGTATTTCTTGTGTGTGTGTGTGTGTGTGTGTGTGTGTACAGTTTGCTTTGTTTTAATTTGAAAGCCATTTAGTGTTCTGCTCTTTTTTCTGTCTTTTTTTTTCTTTTTTGTTTTTTTGACAGCCGTTACAGTGTTTTGTATTTTGCCATTTATTTATAACAGCGAACAACAGTTTTTCCTCTTGTGTGTCATTTTTTTGTATGTTTGTTGTATTTTTTTTCTTTTTTATTTAAGGGGCATGCCATTTTTTATTTTTTGTTTATTTTTTATTTTTTTGTCCGTTTGCTTTTTTGTGTTTTTCTACAGCGATTACAGCCTTTTTTTTTTTCTTTTTTTTTTTTCCTTCTTGAATTTTTGTTTCTTCTGGACAGCCATTACGGTTTGTTTCGTCTTTCTGCTGGTTCTCGTCGCCTCGGTTGTTTGCCGTTTTGTTTTGTTTTGGTTTTATTGGCCAGCCGTGACTGTGGGAATCCTTCGACGCACCGTGTGACGCTGCACGCTGCCTACCAACGGTCCTAACGGGGCGGGGCTCCTAAACAGAGAAACCGAAATAAAGGATCGTGCAGAAATCTACCCCAAAACATCTCACTTTCCCCAAACAAGTAAGAGGTAAGTTTGCTCCGCATTATGGTATAATGTTTGCTAAACATGCAGTTGCACAGATTCGATGGTGTAAATGAAAACACGGCTGGCCGGCGCTCTTTACTCCATGCAACTGAGATGAATTTCATCTGCCTTGTGCGACGCCATCACTGTGTGTATAAACCCACGGACAAAATGGCGAAATGGCAGAAATTTCGTGGCTGCTCGTCCTCCGGCTCGTATGAACGCGGTAGGAATGTGTCGGGGAAAGGCTGCAGGATGAAGCCGGACTGCGGTGTCGCCGTCCAGAAGGTGGTCTGCATTTTTTTTCTTTTTTTTTTTTGTTGCGGAATTCAAACTGCACCTTTTCTCCACTATCACGCTGATAGGCCTCAATGAATGAAGTGGGTTTGGCAGCAGCAGCGCCATTTTTAACCACGCACGTACACAGAAACGGGCCTCGGAGCGGTGCCGTGCTAATGCCCAAAGCTCTTCTGTCTTTTTCAGGTAAATCTCCTGTGATGCCGATTCGCCGAGCTGCAGCCACTCCGACCCAGGAGAAGGCCCCCTCCTCAGGAGCAGAGAAAGGTGAGGTTGGGGTCGTCAGTCACCTCAACGGTGGACCCGTGAACGCACCATCATCCCCGTCTCAACTCTCAGGACACACTGGTCCACTTTTCACTTTTTCTCTGAGCACAGAACAAACACAGCTGTTGTTTAAGACAGTGTTTCCACAGTTCCAGTAGTATAGTAGTAACACCTACAGAGAGGTGTGTGTTTTATTTAAGTTAAAACAAGATTTTGCAGCATGATGTATTACACCTGAATTTAGCCTAATTGATCAGCTTCTCTTACTTTATTTATACTAGTTGCACATTTAGAAGTTACATTTTTGGGTTCAACTATAACAGAGTTTAACAACAGCTTCTCTGCACCATTGTGTCAAAAATGGATGGGGGGAGGGATGTCTATTATGCATGCACAAGTTCAGGTTTTATTCTTTCTACCTTATTTTCAATGGTTCCTCAGAGCCTGAAGCCTCCTCAGAAGAGTCGCCCTCTGCTGACGAGGAGCAGGTTGCATCTTCGGCCGCAGCAGCCGAGGGCGAGACAGCAGGCGACGCGGAGCCCACCGAGAATGGTGAGAAGGCCGACGAAGGAGCCGCTGCAGAGAAGGAAGGGGAAGGCACAGAGAAGAAAGAGTGAGTCTCACCAGAGAGATAATCTGCAAGTGTGAACACTGCGATATTTCACTCTGATAGCACTTTTATCTGTTAATATGATCCTTACCTCTGCTGGATAACAGCAGACTGCTGCTCTCGGGGTTGCAGTGTTGCATTTCCCAAAACATGTGACCTGTCTCAGGTGCATTCGTGTCCTGTATCGTAGCTGTCAGACAGATGTGCCCGCAGTCTCGGAGGAGTCCAGGAGGAGAGGACATTGGCATCGTGACTGTCTAATGATTTGTTAACACCTCAGTCCGTATTTTGAAACTCGAAGAAATGGCAGCGTTATCCACTTCAAGCTTCTCACATTTGTTTTGCCCACTTACGCGACAACAAAGTCACTTTCGGTGTCAGCGACTAGATTTTTTTGGGCCAGTAGCAAGTCTCATGGACTTTTTTTTTTTTTTTTTCAGAAATCACGGTAGTATGAGGAAAGTTTTAAATACTTAGTTTAGCTGTAGCTGTGGGGCACTTAACCTTGTGGTTTTTTTTAAGTTAATAACTTGTAACTTTGGTCCTCCTCCTTCTCTTCTCCCAGACCTTGACAAAGCAAACCTTCACCTTTTTGTGCACATGGATCACTAGCATTTCAGTTCAGTCAGGGTCAAATTTACCATGGTGGTCATTAAGACAGATGTTCTGAAACTTCATTTTGTCTTTCCCGTCGGTGACAATCGGACAAAGTGACAAATGCAAGGACTGCGCGGCTGGACAGTGCGCAACACACTGCTATGTTCTCCTACTAAGGTGAGGATGTGATAAAGATAAGGGTGGTAACAATCACAGTGAAATATCGCTTCTAGAGAACCGACTAGCTTCACTGAAACTTGTGCTTTGCTCCTTTTTTGGCGACAGGTTGAAGGACGGCTACAAGTATGAGAAATCCAAAGTGAAGAAGGTGAAAAGGACGATTCCTGCGTGGGCTAGTGTCACCGCCAGCAAAAAGGTTCCCGTTACCAACTTTGCAGGCACTCAGAACAAAGTGGATAACATCCTCATTGAAGCTATCACGGTGTGTGAAAACTTTTGCGTCGCTCGGCACGGCTGCCAGCTTAGTTGTTTTTGCTTGCTGTTTAAAGGGATTTTCTTGTCTTTGCAGTCTTGTAATGACAGATCGGGGGTTTCATACCAGTCGGTCATGAAATATATTGTGAAAAAATACCCGGGGATGGAGCTTGACAGGAAGAAGTTCCTTATCAAAAAAGCAATGAAGAAACACATAGAGAAGGGCACTATCAAACAGGTAAAGGATGTTATTTGTTTAGCTACTTATATGTTGGGATATAATCAGAAGCATGAGCTTGTTGCTTTGTGGAGTGAAATGTACGTTCTGTTTATTAAAATTTGTAGAAACCTCAGAAACATGTCAGCCCTGCTTACTACTGTTTTTCCTTCATCTCTCACACAGCTAAAGGGGAAAGGCCTTTCAGGAACCTTCACCATTGGGAAGCAGACTCCCTTGACTAAGGTATGTCACACGAGAGATGCTTTACTGTATCTCTGTAGGAAGCAGGAACTCCCTTGTTTGTTGCTTTGCTGCACCAAATAGCTGTTTTTATACTTGAGTCTTTGTACAGATGAAACTAATGGGGTATAACATGCTAATTCATGAGCTTGAGAGGAGCTGGGAGTTTGTTGCTGTCAGATGAAGTTGTGTTAGCAGGCTACATCCACACTGATACGGTTTCATTTAAACATGCTACTTTGTCATAGTAACGTGCCTTAAAGTTTTACTGTCGCCGTCTGTAGCATAAAACGAGCTGTCATCTGTCTGTGAGTTCCTGGCAGCTTAAGCTTGTTAATACTCACGCGAGACACTGTGATATATGTGGCATAACCGTACAGAGGATTGTGGGTCAGAATGGCCACAAAAGCACGCTGGCTTGCATGCTTCACAATCCGTCTGAATGTAGTAGGGACATCCCGGTGTATTTGTTGCACTACATTTGATATGCTGTGCGTTGGGACATGCTAAATCTTTTTCAGGTGTACTATATGATAAAGTAGAGTGAATAAGACTTCTGGAAACGGTGATGCAAACGCTTCTGATTGGTCCTTACTGTCACTGTGTGTGTTGTATTTTCTACGTCTAACCAAACAACTCATATGTCCATTGATGCAAGCGGTCATGTGATATGCCCTTTTAGGTGTATTAGCACCCGCAGAAAATATTCCTGCTCATCTTGGAATTTCATTTAAAATACGAACATATTGGCGTGGATGTAGCCTCTCTCTCTCCAGTCTCTGTGCTAAGCTAGGCAGCTCACTGTAGCTTCATATTTAGGTCATGAGCTACACTTTCATCTCCTCCATCCCTGATTGGACTGCAGTGTCAAGGGCTGAGGCATTTTCTATAGTGTCTGAGTAGTTAAATAGGACAAAGATTGTACTCAGGACCAGAATATCTTCAGTACATGATAACTGCACAACATTTATACTTGTGTCAAAGAAGTAGTGTCAACAGTTTTCTTCTCCCCATCTTTCCCTATGAGACTGGGACGTGTTTGGTTGTAATCGTCATGTCTGTAAATGGGTGGTGTTTTAGAAAGCCGCTCAGAAGCAGGAGTCTCTGGGAGACGCTCTTCCTCTCATCATCACTCGGCTCTGTGAGCCCAAAGAGGCCTCGTACAACTTGATCAAGAAATACCTGGAGCAGCACTTCCCCAGCCTCAACATCGAAAGCAGGTACAGCGCTTCACAGCTGACCGTTCCCCTGTTTTTAAGTCTGTAAACAGCCAGAGCTGCAAAAACTGATGTTTTTCATTACTAAGTCATTTATTTAATTTTAGCAAGTAACAGTTACAGCCTCCCAAAACATCAAACTTCAGAACTTTTGGCTTACTAATTCCCTTGTAACAGAAGATAGTTGATCTCATTTTGAAGTTTTTGTTCCGAAAGACTGCAAAACACATGAAGGTGCCCTACTTTTAAGACATGAATTCAAAGTAAAGCTCAATTACAGAATACATTATTGATTAAGTAACTGATTCGTCTTTAGGCCAGAAGTCCTGAAGTCAGCGCTGGTGAAAGCAGTAGAAAAAGGACATCTGGAGCAAATCACTGGGAAAGGAGCCAGAGGGACGTTTCAGGTAAACCTCATAACACTGTTTGAATTTGTTCCAAAATGAGTGAGACATACTGGTAAAGTGTCTATTAGCAAAAATTTATCTATCCTGGTGAAGAACAATTTGCAGTATTCTGCAAAGGTGGCCACTATGAACAAATAAAACTGACTCTCATTCATTTGCTCTGCATTTGTAAGCATCTAACAAAAAACACAAAAAGCTTACAAGATGCATTTTATTAAGAGGATAAAAAGCAAATCCTGCATCACATTTTATTGACTACCTGGTATTTCTCAGGTAGTCATGTAAGCAGTTGCATTCAGTTGCTGGTTCTTTGTTTTACTTGTTCGAGTGCAACAGAGATCTCATGTGTTAAAGCGTTCATATCTGACTGTTACAGCTCAAACGCACCGGCAACAAAGTCCTGCTGAAGGGCGGCGCCTTAGAAGACGCCATCACAGCCGCTATCACAGCCATGAATGAACCTAAAACCTGCAGCACCACAACTCTACGCAGATATCTAGTAGATGCCAACAAGGACAGAAAGGAGTACCAGTTAGGTAAGACTCCCGTTCTCTCTTTCTCTTTCTCTGCTTACACATCTTACATGTTCCTCACTTAGAATAGAATAGAATAATTTTTTATTTATCCCCAACTGGGGGAAACTTACACGCCACAGCAGCATCCAGAAATATAGAAAGAAAAGTACAAGAATATAGCAATCATTAATAATAATAGTATTTGCAGAGAGGATGTTTGAGTCTGCTGCTGAAGGAACTACTTAAAGCCTCCACAGTGTCATGCAGTGGGTGAGAGGGGTTGTCCATGATGGATGTGAGCTTTGCTAACATCCTCCTCTCACCCACCTCCTCTATGGAGTCCAGGGAGCAGTCCAGGACAGAACCAGCCCTCCTCACCAGTCTCCTTAGCCTCTTTCTGTCCCTGTCTGTGCTCCCCACTCCCCAGCAGACCACTGCATAGAAAAGAGCAGATGCCACCACAGTGTCATAGAATGTCCTGAACAGGGTCCTGCACACTCCAAAGGACCTCGGTCTCCTCAGCAGGTGGAGACGACTTTGACCCTTCCTGTACAGGACCTCTGTGTTATGTGACCAGTCCAGTTTGTTGTTGAGGTGAACACCCAGTTATCTGTAGGTCTCCACCATCTCGATGTCTAGACCCTGGATGTTCACCTGTACAGTCTGGGGTGTCGTCCTCCTACGGAAGTCAATGACCATCTCCTTCATCTTACTGGCGTTGAGCTGGAGATGGTTCCGCTCACACCAGTTGACAAAGTCAGTGATGACGGTCTTGTATTCCCGATCGTCCCCCTCAGATACACACCTGACAATGGCTGTATCATCAGAGAACTTCTGGAGGTGACAGCTCCCAGAGTTGTAATGATAGTCCGAAGTGTACAGGGTGAAGAGAAAGGGGGAGAGCACTGTCCCTTGTGGGGCCCCTGTACTGCAGACTATCACATCAGACACACAGTCCTGAAGCCTCACGAACTGTGGTCTGTTGGTGAGGAAGTTGATTGTCCATGCAGCCAGGTGACAGTCTACTCCCACTCTTTCAAGCTTCACCTGTAGCAGTGAAGGCTGAATTGTATTAAAGCACTGGAGAAATCAAAGCACATGACTCTTACAGTGCTGCTGGTGTTCTCCAGGTGAGTCAGGGAGCTGTGCAGTTGGTAGACCACTGTGTCATCCACTTGTAAAGTACTTTGAAATGATTGGTTTCCAGATTAGTTTAAATGTGTTCAGTTTAGGTAAATTGCAGTTTTCAACAACCAAGCTTATAGTTTGTCTCTCTTTAGCTTAGATATGTTACATATACGAGCAGCCTAGACCCACATACAGAGTTTACTAAACTGTACAAACACAGATCAATGATATAGAGTCCCCATCAGCCAGCTGGTTGCTTGGATACAGGTTTGTTCATTAAGTCAGTCTGACATTCTCTGAGCATAATCTGAATTGTTCAGAAATGTATAGTTTCAGAACCCACAGAGCAGATTTTAGTGATGTGACGGCTGCAGGAAATCTCTGTTTTGCTTTGTTTTTAACGCTTATCTAACTGTTAAAAATACTGTAAAAGAAACAGTTTCCTGACATGCAAAGAAAGAGAGAATTTAAAAAAAAAAAGACTTTAAAGTTCTGTTAGGATTGTTAACAAAAAAAGAGCACCATCAGTAAGTTTTATCAGTGTGAGTAGTAGCACCATTAAAAACTTTAATGATACCTTAACGTCCCTAAATGGGAAATAAGAAAACAGGTCACAGACTGAGCTTGATTTCAATATTTACTTTGATTTATATGATCAGGAAGTTACTGACTTATTTGCATGATGCAATCAGTGAGCTTGCAGCAAGTACACTGGGTGGGTGAGGGGTGCTGGATTTAATGCAGTCAATATGAAAGCTGGCACTGGATTACTTTGATACTGAAGAAGCATTCAAAAGATTCCCAGACAAGTTCAAGTCCAACACAAGAAAAAATGTTTAATTTCCTGGTGACACAAATTAAGACAGATGAAATGTCAAAATCAAGTTCAGTTAATGACAGGCTGTTTTAAATTTCCTAGTTGTTTCCAAGTTGACTGGTGTTACTTGTTCCATTGTTTTTGTGTGTGTGCTGGATTCAGAAATGAATAACAGAATAAAAAAAATCATAGTTTTTTAGTTTTGAAAAGAAAAATTGCTACAGTGATCTCAAAAGGACCTGTGCATCCAAAATGGGATGTCATTAAACCATGAGTTCTTGTCTTTAGTGGCCAACCTGAGGAGGACTCTGACCAAGTGTAAAGTACTCGGATGGATGGAGCAGATTACTGGTCACGGCTTCACAGGGACCTACCAGCTCTCGTTCCCTTTCTACCCCAGGTACCTTCAATACTCTGTCATTCATCTGTGGATTAAGATTTCTGCCTGATATAGCAGAGACATCCACACAGCTACTTATATACTTCTCTGTCTTTGTATGTCTCTAGGTCTGACCTTTTCATTTTCATTTTTCTCTTTAGTCCAACCATCCTATACCCAGACAAGTTTAAAGACCTTCCGAACAAAAAAGCTGCAGCTCCAACCAAGCGGAGGAGGACAGTAGACTCTTCAGACGAGGAAGACGAAGAGTCAGAAGAAGAGGAGGAAGAGTCCGAGGATGAAGCCCCTGTCCGTCAGAGGTGTGTGTCAAAGTTCCAATTTGAGCTTCAGTAAGCTGTCCTAAATCCAGGGTCGTCAGTGGTCTACAGTAGGAATGTTTAAAAGAAACCTTCTATGCCAAAATATTGTAAATACCAAAGCAACTTTCCTTAAAGTTCTCTTGTTTTAAACAGTCCTAATGTTCACAGCTATTTTTTTGACACGTTGATGTGGTGAAGCAGGTTTTTTCGTAGCCTCACAGCTTCATGTGTGTATAAAGATGTACTCTCATGGCTCCATTCAGACATACCCGCCATAGAGACCAAAGTGTTTGGATGTTTTTCCAAAAATTAATGAAAACAGAAACCCTGAAAAACTTAAGCTTTAAGTTTTAATGTTCAGGTGGTTTTTGTCTTTTCCCAAAGAGTTAATGCTTATAATGTGAGATGGAATTACACATTTACACAACTCACATGATCCATCATCTTTTTCCACTTCTTTTGTCGTCATCGTCTCTGGACAGCATGACACATGGTCAGTGCCAGTTGACACCAAAGAATAATTGCAGCTTTCCTAATTAAAATCCACTCCTGAAGACTTCTCTCTCTCGAAAAGGGACTAAGTTTTGATTGTTTCTTCTTTTGCTTTGTAGTTTTTTAGCTGTTGGCAAAGCAGGTTTTGTTTACCGATTCTTCTACGCTCCTTATTTCACCCACTTATCTATATCGCCAACTTCTGATGACACAACACAGCCACGTTTATTCGCTCCAAGTCAGTTAATGGAAACAAGCCTAATTCATGTTTTCTTTCTATAATTTTTTTGTGACATTTTTTTTTTATTTGTCGCTTGACGGTTATGACACACATTCAGTATGTGCCATATGCTTGAAACGGGACAGTACATCAAGTTATTTATAAGGTTAAAATTTTCTGAATCCAACATGATATACGAACGTCAGTCTGTTCCAGGATTTTTTATTTTTATTTTTTTCCTGGGCCTTCTCTAAAACAATAGATAGGATGAGTTTTCACCTGTTACAGCATTCATTCCTATTCTGTCATGTCACTCACTAAATATAACAACGTCCCACATCTGTACCTTGTGGTTCACACTGTTTTGAAAGTAATGTTGGAAAAGGTCCAACTTGTAAGCTCGCCATTGCAAATTTTAAACAAAAATGACCTAATTTAGACATGAAACAGACACTTTCAGATGCCTTCAGATTAATGGAAATGAGTGCACGTCTGAAAAGGGCTTATTTACGCTCCTTTTACTTAACTGCTTTCTGTTCAAATTACTCTTAGGAAATCTCAGAAGAGGCCTCCGCCCAAGGCTCGCCATCCTCCGCCAACCAAGAAATCTCGGAGCACGAGTCAGTCAAAAGCTCAAGGGAGGGGACGCGCACTGGCAAAGAAGTCACCAGCCAAGAAAGCAGCAACTTCAGCCAAGAGGTCAGGAAAGAAACCGCCAGCCTCCAAGAAGGAATCGGCAACACCGTCTAAAGCCACACCTGTAAAGAGAGGCGCTCCCGCAAGAAAGCCCAAAACGCCAGCTGTTAAAAAGCTCACAAAAAGGGGGTCTAAGCGACCTTTGGCCAGAGATTCATCGGCCGAGGAGGCAGGTACAAAAGAGACGACAAGGAGTGGGTCCAAGCGATCTAAGGCCGAGGAGTCGTCCCCGGAGGAGCCCGCAGTTAAAAAGGCAACAAAGAGCGGTTCCAGACGGCAAGAGCCCGAGGAGTCGTCCTCTGAAAAGCCTGTAGCCAAAAAGGGCGCGAAGAGCAACAAGCAGACCGCGCGAAAGTCCAAGAGAGGGAGATACTGAACCCAGGAGCACCTTCCACAAACTGGCAGCAGTCAGCCGCTTTGTTTCAGTGCTCTCTCTCTTTTTATCATTGTTTTCTCCCTTTTTAATGGGGCAGTAGGTTTTTTTTATTTTTATTGTAGTATAAGAACGTTATCCTACCAGTTAACTGTACTTTGAGAGTTTCTGAACTTCCTTTTTAATCACCATGTGTAGAAAAGCTTGGTTAGTGTTGCCATTAAAGCTGCCAGCTCGCGAAAGCATAGCAAGATCCAACCAACTCTAACTAGAGCCATGTATTAACTTATGTTTTTATATGTTCCTCATCCACTTGGTAGGTGCTGGCAGCACACATTCCTAATTTCAGACAAAGTGAGGTACCCGTGTTTCGGAGAGGTGAAAAGGACTTCCATTTTTAGGTTCAAATGTTGAGAAGTTTAAACGGTTACTAACAATGTTACTACTTTATAAAAACACAGAATTGAAGGCTTTTTTCTGCGTTCCAGGATCTCTTTGACCACAAAGTACTGCATCAGAATTTTAACTATTATTATTATTATTATTTGAATTTCTTTATTTAATACAAAAAAAAAATCCCCAAGTAAATATTAGGCCTGCAGGTGTCAAGCTGAGGACTGAACAGAGGATAAAACACTGATAGTATTCAAGTCACATTGAGGGAAAAAGTCATTTTTTCACGTGTGTGGAAGCAAACATATACGTAAATTGATTTTATTGCTTCACAGCTGTAATTCAGTACCAAACTGTAAGAAATGTGTGTTGTGAATAAGAAAAAGGAGGATAATAGCTCATACATACCCTGCATGCATGTATTCCTTGTGTTGTTAAGCTTTTTTCCAAGTCATTAATAAAATGGCTATATTTGTATATGCTTGCTCTTTTTTATTTTTAATAATTTATTTGGTGTGCAGCTTGGAGTTTGGTGACCTAAGACATTTTTATGGCTTGTTCATATTTCATGAATCGAAGTAATTAACTTTTTTTTTTTTACATTCTTCACAAAATTGCCCAAGTATTTTATGCCATTTATCTGTTCTATCTATCTTCCCCAAAAAAACTTACTGGGACTAAACTTAAATGACTGGTAAGATTTGAGTATTTCGCTTTCTGGAAGTTCACCAAATGATTAGATTATGTAATATTAAACTGAAATGTTACAATGAATATATTTTCAATTTGGGTTCTGCTGCAGACAGAATTATCAGGAACAGTTTGTGGTCTTTTCAGATCTATTTATATATATTAACTAGAAGTCATGAACTGTTATTTGGGACCAGGGAGATGTCAGCCTGTAAAAGAATGAGAGAGAAAGCATATATTAGTCATGGGAACATTGTGTCAATGTATTATTTAGCATAAAACCAATGTTTGAATTTGGAAAAACAATGTGGTTAATGTGTGTTAACATATGGCCTGTATCAAACCACAGATTGCCCTTTAACTTTTAACCTTATAGGAACATTATTTAAATAGATAAATATCCTTAAAATGTTTTCTTTCTAACATTATTAGAACTTGTCAGTTAGCTTGTCCTGCTTGCTGAGTTTTGGCACCACACCTGAACCCAACTGGACCAGTGTATTATTTGAGAGCAGAAAAATAGCCAACACGAACACACACACAATAAGTTAATCCAGTGTTTGTGTTTGACCTGATGAATGTCAGCAGCCTTCTCCCCCGATGCTGCTCTCAGATCATCATTCATCCAAGTTGTCAGGTCAGTGTCATCATTTTTAAATTGCAGTTTTTTACTTGTCTTGCTGGTTGGAGAAGTTTTAGTTCAATTCTCCCTTATGTCTGGATTGAACATTAATAAGTTCAAAGGTTGCTCTCCTCCTCGGAGTCCTGCAGAACAGCAGAGCCGATGTCCTGAAGTGAGCCACTCAAACACTGGGAACACAACAGTGAGGAGTGTCCAATGATTTTAGAGCAGACCTTGACAGTGCTCAGGCTCATAGAGTGAATTATTCAGAATGTAATGACATTCAATGAAGGAAAAGTAGGATGTCCTTAGGATGTTCCTGCTGACACCAAAAGTGTTGAGCTTCCTCAGTAGATAGTGCCACTGCTGACATTTTCTGAGGATCCCCTCGGTGTTGGAAGCAAATTTGAGTGTGTTATCAAAACAGGTGTTTGTATTCATCCAGTATCTCGACCTTCATCTCACGGATTGTGCTGACAGCTGTTGTAGCACGCTCTCTCTGCTTCCTGGAGAAGGTCATCACCATCTCTTTGGTCTTTTCCTCGTTTAGCTCCAGGGAAGATTCATCACACCACTCCACAAACTCATGGAGAGCTGAGCTGTGCTGGTGTGATGGGCCTGACAGCAGGGACAGGAGAACCTGCCACAGGATTCGTCGGTCCTTCAGGTGGAAGCAGGTATTCTCCTCCAGCATGTGTGGCTGTAGAGTGTTGAGTGCAGAGGAGAAGTCTGCAAACAGGAATCTGGCTGTGGTGTTGCGTTGTTCCACATGCTTGTGTACAGTGTCCATGATGTATCTTTTCACATCATTATCCCCCCCGCTGGCACGGTACGTGGGCTGGAGAGGTTCCATCAGTGGGTTAGTCACCATAATGATGTGCTTCTTTATGACCCTCTCCATAGCTTTCATCACCAGGGGGTGGGAGGGTGGCAGTCAAAACCACAGGCCTGAGGTCATTCAAAGTCTTAACAGAGTTCTTCTTCAGGATTGGGACCACTGTGGAGTGTTTCCATAGCTGGGGAACTATACTGCTGTCCATAGATCTTTGAAACAGGAGCTGAAACCTCCCAGCTGCTCCGCACAGCACTGCAGGACATGACCACTGATGTTGTCTGGACCAGGTGCTGTGTTTTCTGTGATCCTCTTGAGGGTTCTCGCCACCACCTCCATGTTGAAGGTGAGTTCTGCTCCCATGAGCATGAGGGAGGAGATGATTGCATCTATGTTGGTGGTGCTGTCTGTCTCAAATCTAGAAAAGAAGCAGTTGAGGTTGTTGGAGAGGGATGCTGGCTACCTGCCACCTGGATGGTCCTGTGGATGGTGGGAGCGGTGTTCACAGCAGCCATGTTTTAATCCTCTGCCAAGCTGAGCAGAGACTCCCTGAGTGAGTTTTCCCTCCATCTCCTGCTCTTGTACTTTAGCTTGGTATTTTTTATGATACATTTTACCTCCTTGTTAACCTCCTTTTTTTGCTGATTTGTTGTCAGCACAGAATAATTTTTCCCTTTGCTGAGAATTTCCTTGAGTTCTTTGGTTATCCAAGATTTGTTGCTTGGGTAGATTGTTACCTTTTTTTAGTGTGAATGATCCAGCGTTCATTCTCCTCTTGTTGTTTGAATGAAGCAGATTTACTTCATCTCTAAGTGTAACAAACAGTTTCCAGCTGATTGCCAGTGAAAACCATGTAGCAGTTGTTGCCGCACAGCAGTGGCTTAGGCAGCCGTCAGGTTGTGACGCCACTATGCGAGCAATGACTGAATAGGTCATTCCACCTCAATTCACCATTAAAAAAAAAAAAAAAAAAGTTTGCGCCTTACCCTCTCATACATGTCAGATTTTTTTCTGTGCATACATATGTCATTAAGTAAAACGTGTAAAATGAGGGGTCATAGGTAACATTAGTTTTTTTGAGTTAAAAATTCTTAAAGACGTTGGGGTTATGTCGATTTTGCATATTTTCTTCACACTACTTTGTGGAGCAATGTTTGAACAGTCACACTGGACTTCAGACTTTAGAATTTTAGATTTTAGACTCTATTGTGGGGAAATTCTTTTCCACAGCACCTTACCGCTTGTTTTACATTAACAGGACACACATTCCACAAAAATACTGTTCACATGTATTAATGTGGTCCAGATCACCTTGGCCTTTAGTTAAGGGTTGCTATAATAGATGGCATTAGGCTTTTGCTTAGTTGTGCTCGTCTGCATCTCAGTGCTCTGTATCTATGTCCTGAGACAAGGGGGGTGAGGTATGTATGTTATAATGGATTCTTCTTTCTTCTTCTTCTTCTTCTTTTTTTTTCTCCTACAAACTTATTTTATACAAAGACTTATAACTTGAGAAATAATGTAGCTGGAGTCCTGACATTTTGCATGCTCCTTGATATGTACATGTGGTCTTCAATGGTACAACCCCACTTTGTTAGAATAATACAAACTACAAATGACTAGAAATCAGAATCAGAGTCAGAAATACTTTACTTATCCCCAAGGGGAAATTCTTTTTTTGTTACATGCACGTTTCCCACCCATGAATAAAGATAGAAATATAATACGAGTAAAATAAAAACATTTAAAAAAGAATAAAAAGATACGTAAAAGGTAAGAGATTAAAAAAACGTCAAAATACAGATAAATCAACCTCTAAAAAAAAAAAAGAAACACCACCATATTTCCATTTAAATATAGTTAAGGTGCAGCTTGTATGAAGATGTGTGCAAAAACAGTGTCCGGTATCATATTTAAAGTGTGGAATTCAGCAGTTTGATGGCAACAGGCAGGAATGATTTCCTGTGTCGCTCTGTGGTGCAGCGTGGCAGCAACAGTCTATTACTGAACAAGCTCCTGCAGTTGGTCAGCATGTTGCGGAGAGGATGAAGGGAAAGTCCAGAATAGTCCTGATTCTGGACAACATCCTCCTCTCAGACACCACCCTCAGAGAGTCCAGTTCCTCTTCCACAACTTGGCTGGCCTTCCTGATGATTCTACTGAGTCTGTTGATGTCCCTCACCTGCAAGCTGCATACATGATGGAACCTGCCACTGCAGACTCGTAGAACATCCTCAGCATCGTCCTGCTGGTGTTGAAAGACCTCAGCCGCCTCAGAAAATAGAGACGGCTCTGGCCCTTCCTGTAGACAGTGTCCTTGTTCCTGCCCCAGTCCAAGTCCACACTCAGGTACTCCTCCACCACCTCAACACTGACCCGATGGATGTTGGTGGGGGGGCATCCAGAACTCCCCATCAGTCAGTTTGAATTCTTGGATGAAGGCTAAACTTTTCCAATAACCTAAAAGAGAAGTCCAGTTGCTTTCTACTGAAGCTCCAAGGAGCACATTCTCAACAGCAACATCCTCAGAACATTGCTGACAAAATGTTCCACTTTTTATTTTAAATTCAAGGCTCCTTTTGATAACATTTTGCAAACAGTTTTTGAACATTGGCTCCAGAAAGTTCTTCATTTTGTAATCATGGAACATAATCTGACAACATCCTCTGAATGGTAAAACATTATTTGAAAAGATAAACATCTATGGCGGAATTTTTCCCCATGCAAACATTGTTAGAACTTGTAGGGAATGTTGTGGGAACATTCTTTGCTTCCTAGTATTTATTTATTTATTTATTTCTGGTTGCACTTTTTCTTTCAGCTCTGGGTGTGTGCAGGGATCTTGGATAGTTGCACAATGAGCAGGAATGTGTGGAGCTGGGGAAAAAAAAAAAAAAGCTGTGGACAGAAGCTGCTGCGGGGGGAGGGAGATGTGATTCGACGCGTTATCTTCCGCTGACTGTCATATCTTTGGAGGAGTGAAGTTTTTACGCGCACCTTCTCTTCCTCCTCCTACCCGGCTCGGAGCCCCGCCTCGGGCCGCTGGCACACCTGGACCTGGAGCAGCGAGCGGCGGGTAAAGGTGAGCAGGACCCCGCTGCGTCTTGTGGTTGGACATTGGAGGTGGGTGGCTTCAGGACGCTCCGACTCTGAACCGTGAGTTTCTGTGATTATCTCAGCCGCATGCAGTCAGCTCAGGTCGGCGTTTGTTGGATTCCACAGGGCGGAAACCGTTCACAAGTTGCCCATGTGTGTTTCATTTTGCTTCATCCACACCTCGCTCTCTGTTCGGGACATTTCGGGGGGCAGATTCGCCCAGTAAAACACAAATCCGAAGTTTTTTTGTGTGTTAACTGCGACTTTGACGCATTTGCGACGTTGAAAATGGGCCCAAAAGAAGAAGAAAAAAGCGCAGCGGTTTGTGCCAAACAGTCAGGACGCACGCGAAAAAAAAAAACTCCCACCACAGCTGACATGAACTCAACACACACTCACCTTGACTCACAGTGCTGTTCGTGTGTTTTTATAGGAGCTGTTTTTGTTCTTTTTAAGAGTGAAGATTGTCTGGCTGTGTGGTTTTTACAGGAATAAACAGGCAGAATGGGTGAGGCACCAGCCAGAGAAGATGGGGCAGTGACTCGATCAGCAGAGGTATGACTAGAAATGACTTTCTTTCTGTCTTCTTTAGTGTCTGTGTGTGTGTCCGTGTTTTTGTTTCAACACATGTTTTCTCTGGTGAAGTATGTGGGCTCATTTCCTGTGGATGACCGCTGTTTGGACGACCAGATTAAGCAACTGCACACACAGCTGAAGTCCCTCAAAGTGAGTCCGCATCTGAGATTTTTTATTTTTTTTAAAAACTCATTACTGGGATTGTAAATCCAGGACTTAATCCAGTGTTTGTCTTCAATCAGACATGCAAGAGAAGGAGGTCTGTATCCCTGAAATTCTCCATTAAAGGTGTGAAAATGTACAATGAAGATGAAACGGTGAGTTTAAACTTTATATGTCTACAGAAACAATTAGGTTTAGGCTGTTTCTTGCTCTATGTGACTCCCGCCCTGTCTGCAGACTCTCCTCATGGCCCACGCTCTACGTAGAGTCTCTCTTTCCACTGCCCGGCCTGTCGATGCCCAGTTTGCCTTTGTTTCCCATAACCCGGGCAGCGTTGATGCCCAACTCTACTGCCATGTCTTCAAAGCAAGGCACTCACGAGCGGTAAGAAACCTCCAGTTATTGTTCCGTTACAAAAACCAAGGTACTTTCAAGTTTAAATACAAAAACAGGTCCACTGAAGGACATTTTCTTGGGTTTTCTGGAAGGATCACAGCTCAGCAACTTATTTTGAAACACTGGAAGACTCTGGAGTCAAATCGAATTTATTCATAAAACACATTTAAAACAAGAGAAGTGCTGTGCAATTTTATAGAGCAACCCAAAAGACATAAAGACAAGTCTGACTAAAGATGCAATAAAATAAATACAATAAAAGATACAGTCAAGGTGTAAATCTCTACTTTATTAAAATACCTAAGAGAAGAGGCAGGTCTTCAGCAGTGATGTAGAAGTTTGTTAAGTTGAGCATTTCTTATATTAATTTGCAAACTGTTTCAGGGACTACGAGCAGCTACTGCTCAGGCTTGATCACCTGTTTTTATGTCTAAATCTTGAAACATCTAAGAGGATCTGGTTGGTTGGCCTCAGTGCTCTAAATCGGTGATGAAAATGTAAGAGTTGTGCTAAATTAAATGTTGCTAACTCATTTAAAAAGTTAAAAACAAACAATCAAATCTTAAAATCAGTAAAGACTGCCTTTCAAAATGCTCGACCAAACATGACAGTCTCTTGTTTTCATTTAGATTAGGAAAGTTTCAATAGTGAAATAAAATGACCTCCGGTTTAGAAATCTGGTTACAATGGTGGGAAAGATTATATTCGCCTCCACACACCTGATTTCTCAATACATTTTTGAGCTGTTTAATATTTGGTAGGCCAGCGGGATGTTATCTGACCCTTCCTAAGTGTTGGTCTCTCAGTATGTGCTGATGCATTTTACAAGGAGGTACAGGTTCTGTTTATGCAAGCGCAACTGTGATAGACATTAATTTATCCCTCTGTCAGGTAAAGCTGATAATCTGCAGACTCTAAAGTTGTTCCTTCTATCCAAGACAGTTTTTCCCTGTGGGACAAGGTTAAATAAACCTGACACAGCTGAAGAAAACATGCTGTTTTTGGGGCCCTTTTCTAGACGCATGGGACTTAAATCCGCAGTAAACTAACTTCAATTTTGTCTTTTTTATACTTTGAATAAATTACTTGGTTTGTGATTGGCAGTGGCATAAATAGCTTTCTTCATTTTCTTAGTTATGTCTGTTGTGGGTAGGTGGGCTTTGAGTTTTCAGTTTGGTCTGTTGTATGTGTGGGTAAAGATTACATTTAAAAAAATAAGTATTTAATAGAAAGAGAGTTTGAAAAATATTACAAAAATCTTGCTTAAAAAATTCATTTTTTAGTACAGTTGTGAAGAGTGCCTTAAATATATGAGGGAACCCTGTTTACAAAGTGCATTTATGATGCATCAGAGGGAGAAAATGTAGTGTTTGTTAAAGAAACCTGGACATGAAATGGAGCTGAAGTCGTCCAAGTTGAATCTAGTTGGATTTTCTTCAGGACAGTGAAAAGTCAAGTGTAAGACGAGTAACTTGATGCAACTAGATGTTAATCAATAACTGTTATAATAACATATGCTGGTTAAAAATAAACAATTATAGTTCAGTTGTAGTTAGGCACCTGCACTGATGTCACATGACTCCATGTACAAATAAGAAGTTGATTCACTGTAATGGCTGCAACAAAACTAACAGGAGAGAATGAGACAGATATCAGTGAGCTCAGTGTCAGCATGACAGCACTTTTCAAAATCCAAGTTACAAAGTGCTTTCCAAAACAGCAAAAAACAAAACTTAGACATAAAATCGTCACAATTTAGGAGACAAATAAAAAGTATGGCATTTAAAAACAACAGTGGTAAAAAAAATATATGAAAGAAATAAAAGACAGTATAAAGAATATTAAAATCAAATAAAACCAGGAAAGGATCTCTGATAAATGTATATGTTTAGAAGCGACTTAAAAGACGTCACTGACTCTGATTGTTTCAGTCCTGACTGCAGATGCTCTGTCCCCATGTTTTCAGTCCCCAAAAGAAAACTTCTCTCTGGTTGGACTTTGGATGAGCAGAGACTTCATGCCTCATTAACACCTGATGTTAACATGTAGTCTGTATCTTAAAACACTACCTGGACAACGATTTCTGATTTAGTGTGTTTGCATTCTTGTCGTAAAAACACCTCAATGACTTGCCCCAGAAGGAAGAGCTCAGGTGGAGTTACGAACACTGATGATAGCTCACTTCCATTCCCAGTGAGCTATGACCAAGCACAGTAGCAGCACCTTCCAGAAGTGGAATGCAGCTACAATTCAATTCAATTCAATTCAATTCAATTTAATTCAGTTTTATTTGTATAGCGCAGTTTATAACATATGCCATCACACAGTGCTTAACATAGTAAGGTATAGACCTTACAAATTTAAAGACAGAACCTAACAATCCAAAGTAGCCTTTGGACTCCCTCTGAGCAAGCAGTTGGCAACGGTGGGAAGGAACCAAGCTGGATCAGCTGGAGGTTTTTGATAGAATTATTGGGACATCCTGATAGAAAGGAATTACAATAGTCCAGTCTAGAAGTTATAAATACATGGACTAGTTTCTCAGCATCACTCTGAGACAGGATAGTCCTGACTTTTGCAATATTACATACATTTAAAAAGGCTGTCCTACAAACTTGATTGACATGTCCTGGTGAAAAATAAATCCAAGGTTCTTTACAGTAGAACTATAGGCCAAGGCAATGCCATCTAGAGTAACTATCTGGTTCGATAGTGCATTTCTGAGGTGTTTAGGGCCAAATACAATAACCTCAGTTTTGTCTGAATTTAAATGAAGGAAATTCCAGGTCATCCAGGCCTTTATGTCCTTCAGACATGCCTGGAGTCTGTCCAACTAATTGATTTTATTTGGCTTCATAGATAAATGTAACTGGGTGTCGTCTGCTTAACAGTGGACATGTATGCAGTGCTTCCTAATAATATTGCCTAAGGTGAGCATGTACAAGTTAAATAATATAGGTCTTAACACAGAACCCTGTGGAACTCCATAACTAACTCTGCTGCGGGTGGAAGAATCATCATTAACATGAACAAACTGGAATCTGTCTGATAAATATGATTTGAACCAGTTTAGCGCAGTCCCTTTAAGTCCAATTAAACATTCCAGTCTCTGTAATAAGATGTTGTGATCCACTGTATCAAATACAGCACTGAGATCCAGTAGAACAAATATAGAAACTAGTCCATTGTCTGAGGCTATAAGAAGATCATTAGCAACCTTCACCAATGCTGTCTCTGTACTATGATGCAATCTAAAACCTGATTGAAACTCTTCAGACAAATCATTTCTATGCAGATAATCACACAATTGGCTTGCAACAACTTTTTCAAGAATTTTAGAAATAAAAGGGAGGTTGGATATGGACCTGTAGTTAGCTAAAACGCCTGGATCTAGAATAGGCTTTTTGAGCAGTGGTTTTATTATAGCTGCTTTAAAAGCCTGCGTTACGTAGCCTGTTAATATAGAGAAGTTGATGATTTTTAATACTGCAGTATTTATTAGAGGAAAGATTTTTTTGAACAGTCTAGTTAGGATGGGGTCTAACAGACATGTTGCTGAAGAATTTACTATCGACATGAGCTATTATGCACCTGAGCTGTTCCTGCTTTGTCATGTTATAATGTCTGGTGTAAAAAACATATTTTATCTGTTCACTGTATGAAAACTAGTTTGAGGCTGACTTGTCAGGAAACATGGCACATCTCAGGTCAAGTGTAGAAGTGCTGCTGCCTGTAGCTTTTGTCAGAGTTAGGTGATCTTTCACCTTATTTGGTAGATTAATTTGTATCAGAAGAATGTGGTCAGGCTGTATGATTGCATTTTCACCTGCTCAGAACCAATTACAGCGGGAACCCGACCACCTCAAAACGTGTCTGGATACATAGTCACACGTTAATACCAGGTGGCAGTGGGGTCTTAATGTCACCATCACAATATCCCACAATTAAAGGTGAAGTCTGTGATTTCAGAGAAACAAATGTCAGATTTATCACCACTGTCCTGTGCATGAGCTGGAACACGTAGGATACACACCAGAATAATGAGTGGATCAAGCCACTTTGTTTCCCGAGCACCTCCTGTTTTCCCTCAACACACACAGAACCGACAGCTAGTGGACAGTGAGAAGGTATTTGCTAAATTTGATGAAAACCGTATTGGATCAGAATTAGTAAGCCTCATTTTACAACCCTCATACTGCTCACATTTTTGGACTGAACAGTGCTGGGAAATATGCTAATGAGTCAGGCTCTCAGGTTCTTGTCCAATATTTAAACACACCAAACTGATCTGAAACCAACTAAATGAACTGTTTTAACCTCTCCCATTTTCTTCTTCCCACATTCAGTCATTTTGAATCGAAATTGACGAGACTTGGTCCAAAAAACAGAGAAAAATAGTGCTATGAGATGAGATATTTTCTCAGCCTTTGATATGGTGCTTGACTTTGTTTGATATTATTTATTTGCACTGTCAATTACAGTCCTTAGAGATATGCTGGTGGCTGAATTTGGTTTCTAAAGCTTAAAATTTTAGATGGTGAATTACTTGAAACTTAGTAACATCTTGTCTGTTTTCTGTGTTCCCCCTCTCCTCTGTAGGCCCAGTTCCTGAACCTGCTGCTGTGCCGCTGTTTCCAACTGTCGTACTTGGAGAAGCACCCAGAAGAGGCTCAGGAAGACTGTGTTGGCTCAGCGCCTCGCCGCAACCCTTCGCTGCTCAACCACGGCTTCCCTCTCAGCGTCAGCGCCTTGGTGTCATTTAGAAGAGCTCCTTTTCGGGGGTTGCTGCCGGGCACTAAGGTTTGGATCCTCACATCTAGATCTTTCCCACCACCAAACAAACACTTTGACCTCTTGAGCCTGAGGAGCAGTTTATGCTTGACAATGTCCAATTTAACAAATCAATCAAAATAAACAACTGACCTGTTAAAGCGGGTACAGCTGAGGGATGAACCAGAGATTATTTTCGAATGGCTGCATCATTATACTAAATATAAATTTACATAATTTAATTGCACATTTTTTTAACTTCATATCTTCATATTGAAAATGTGTTGGCAAGGATAGTTAACTATGCTTGTTCAAACATAAGTCAATTGGGAATTTACCCACGATCCACAGGGTTACAGAAGCTGAACAAACCAGCAGTGCAGTGTCCAAATAACTGCCTCAAAGTTCAAATCTCAGAAACCCAAGCCATCTCTGTGTGCTTTGCTCCTGCAACATTTGTATTGATTGCATTTTTCACTGCAATATAAAGTCCTGCACCAGAATAAAAACAGCACAGCTATGGTTAGGAGAGAGGACTCAAATCTTTTGATTATTTATTTGACCAAAAATGTAAAAAATAAAACAAAATCAGCATGTACAATATTTTTGCCAAGAGCTGTTACTAATACTGAAAACAAATGGTGGCTCTGCATACTAGAAATATTTTAATATGTACATTTTTATTTAGTTTCCTTACATTTCTTCTTCCTGCTTAGTGTAAACACAGCCTGCAGTGCTACCCAGTTCAGTTGAGTCAGTCATGGCTTCATGGTTGCACCAAAAAGAAAAAAACCCAAACATGTCATTAAACCTGCAGTCAGACTACAGCAAAGGAGGAAATGTAAAGATGAACAGTATTAAAAAAGCCACAGAAACTCGTAACGTAATGTCTAAGCAGAATGCACCTCTGCAAATCAACTTGAGAATAGATTATTTTCTGTGCTGCAAACTCAAACTAAAGGCTCCAAAACAAAAATGAAACTAGTTCATCCCCCAAATTAAACATTTCAGATGGAAAACATCCAACATAGCACAGAACTTAAACGTTTTTTCCCCCCACAAAACACATTAAACATTTAGTTTTAGTCGTAAATACCACTTTTTACAAACCAAAGAAACAGAAATCAGTCGATGAATTGATGCGGTGTCTGCGGGTTATAAGCAGATGTAAAGCTCCGACTCGCTGGAGCTCGGTTCGTCGTCTGGAGACGCTTCTGCAGCTTCGCTCGGTTGTTTTGCAGAAATTTCGTGAAGCTTGTTCCTGTATAAAGGCCACATGCTCAGAGCTCTGCTGTCCTTCTGGGCTGCAGTAGTCGAGGCTCTGTCCATCGAGTCTCTGAGGAAGTGGAAGAGCTTCTCTGACTCGATGCACTGCTTCATGTGAACCACCGGACACGCTTGTTTTTTTGTTTTTTTTTTACAGAATCTTGTTACTGCGATCTGTTTGTCAAAAGACATGTACAACAAAGAAAAGTCGCAATGTTAAGCATAGATTTAGTTACAGCCCATCACAGATGAGTAGTTTAAGAACTGTCAGAAAGTTTCAAATTGGACAATTCTCTAAGATTTATCTATCTGGCTCTGATAAATGGTGTAGTTTTGACATTTTTTTTAATTTTTAAAGACAACTTTGAAACCTGCTGGCAGGTTTTGCAGTTCAGTTGGTTAACCATTTGCCCTGAGATGACGTTTCTTTTCCTTCCATTGACAGAAAAAACAAAAGTCTTCCGAGGACCAGCACAGCAGCCAAGATGAAGTCTTCCCGACCTCCTCCCCGTCCCTGGTGCGGAAGAAAGCCATTCGCACCAAAGCGCTGCGTTCTGGTGCCTACCGCTCCTTCACATTCACGCCGCTCAAACAGCGCAACGTTCAGGAGCGACTGAGCGAGTCACAAGGTGGGCCGAGTGTTCACAGAGCACTATCAAGAGTCAAAGAACTGATTAGGTAAAGCAAACCCTTCAGTGTTAGGTGAAGGGCAGTCACTCGTTGTTCTGGTGTCGGAGGGTGTTGTTTGTCATTTTCACTGCATCGTGAGGTGGTTGGCTGTGACACACTTTTGAAGCTTGGACATGATGAAACTTGTTTTAAGTGGTTATTTCGTCACAACATTCCTTTCACTGAGTTGAGGTTACTTTGGATTTTTTCCTACACAAACATGGTTCCTGGAATATCTCCACTTTTTGACCTCTTGTAATGTAAACAAACTCAAATTCACCATGATTTTGCTTCTTACATGTGAAACAGGAAAGGACAAAGACAAGACTCCAGCGAGGAGATCCCGGGCTCCCAGCTTGGCCGAAACAGAAGAAGCTCTTGCTCAGGCTGTGTGGTGTTGGGCTGGTATCGCAACGTCAGTATGTCGTACATCAAACATGTCTTACTGTTTGTAGATTTGGAGGGTTTTTTTTCGATAATACATCTGTGTTTTGTTTTGTTTTTTTCTCTGGTGTTACAGTGACAGCAGCTATTCCCTGCTTGCAGATGATGTTTTGGGATCATACCTTCTCTGCCCACATCCTAAAAAACCCAAATGTGGTTCTCTTATCATTCGCTTCCCCTCTGGCCTCATCACCCACCTCATAGAAAACACTCGTAAAGGGAAATTCCTGTTGGAGGTAAGTGTTCTGTCAGTAGAGGGGCGGCCCAATACATGGATAACAGACACCAAGTCTGCAAGGCATAAATTTCGTTCGATTTGTAGTGGGAATAAATGAAAAAATTTTCCATGAACATGTTAGACATGTTCCTCTTTTCGACTAGTTGCTTTATGAATAACCTTCAGTTTACAAAAATACATTTAGTTGTATGTTATCATAAAATACTACAGATATTCACTGTACTGTTGAATTACAAACAATATTTGTTAAAACTACGGAACAAAAATAATGAATTTACATATTGACTCTGTAAAAAAGAAATAATAGAAAGAGAGAGAGCGAAACCAAAACTGTAGATAATGTCCACATCAATGTAATGACAAACTAGTAATTCTGTGTAACTTGGGATTTTACAGCTATTTTTTCTGTGTATATCTTAGAAATGCAAGACTGAGTTCAGCTCCCTGGCAGAGCTGATTGAACACTACACAGAGATACAGGATGAGCTGCCGTGTCTGCTGAGCTGTGCTCGGGTGAACCACTGCTATGAGTGGGAGGAGAATACCAGCAAACAGCAGCCTGTCAAGCTGCACAAGATCCTAAACAAAATAAAGATTAAAAGTACCCTCAGAAAGGCATGGGTGTAAACCCTGGACACTGGGACATGTGGACTGCCAACCTCAGAGGATGCAAATACATGACGCTCTTTATTTCTTTTGCACATTTTTCATCTTTTACTTTTAAATCACGTGGTGGTGTGGGGAGATGTCACAGCCTGTATTAGCAATGTTGGCACTTACGTAGGGTACTTATTTGTTAAAGATATCACATGTTGTGCATGCTGCTTTTATGTTTTTCAATATACTTTTTTATAAATGTTTTTATATGTGCCTACAAGGCATCAGAGGAGTTTTATAGTTTTTACATGTGAAACTAATGACCTGAATCTGTGGAGTGGAATTGAACACTCAGATTGTTGCACCTGTTGGCAAAGCCAAACAATTTTTCTTTTTTATTTCCCTGGCCTTGTAAAGATGCTACACAAATACATATTTGTTCAAATTCTACCTTCTCCTTCAATTTAAATTGTGTTTACAAACTATTGTAAGTGTGTTTGGACTTACTATGTCTAAGCAGTGGTAGTGTACACCCTGATGTGTCCTGCTGTAAGAAAATATGACAATGACACATTGTTTTCTATATCTTGCCATTTTAGAGTGTATTACTACGCTTTTCATGGCCACTATAAACAGGAAAAACGAAAGCTGAACTCAGATTTTCTGTGTTTTTAAAGTTTGCAAGAAGTCTTACCCATGGTAGTGTTTGTTTTGCTGGTAACAGTTCAATATTTCTAAAACAATATAACTTTTTTTTTTTTTTTGATTTTTATATCCCAAAGCCCATTTTTTTCAGCAGAGCATAGTACAACCTGGCTTTGCCCTGCAGTTTTAGTTATCTTAAGACTGCAAATGATAGTTTTCTTGTCCAAGAGAAATAATTTCTAATGAGTCCTTTCCATATTAACTCATCATACAATTCACATCTGTTTGAGAATAAATCATGGACTTTTCTGTTTTCATTCCACACCCTACTAAATGGTAGTTTCTCATTATTTTTTGTAGCTGTAAAGCAAAACATTACCTGCACTTTTATTGAGACTGATATATGGACAAATAGAATAGAGTTAGCCTCAACATGTTTTTGGACTTGTGGGAGGAAGCTGGAGAACCTGGAGAGAACCCACGCTGCACGGGGAGAACATGCAAACTCCACGCAGAAAGATCCTGGTGCCCCCACTGGGACGCGAACCGGCGACCTTCTTGCTGTGAGGCAACAACTGCGCCACCTTGCAGCCCAATAATAATAGTAAACAGTGCAAATGTAAATATATACATATATACACGAGTTGTGCAAATACCAGTATAAATAGAATATTTCTAAATATGAATGTTTTTTGTTTATTGTACATAAAAGAAAGGGGGACACTGCACATTGTTGGTCTGCTGGGAGCATAGCTGGTTGTAGAACCTGACAGCAGAGGGGAGAAAGGACCTGTGGTACCTCTCTTTGGAACAGTGTGGATGAAGAAGCCTGGCACTGATAGAACTTTCCAGGGCTTCCAGTCCCGTGTAGAGGATGGGAGGTATTGTCTACGTATGATGACAGCTTTGTCATCCTCCTCCTGTCACCTACCACCGCCATCAGATCGAGACTGCAGCCCAGGACAGAGCCGGCCTGCTTCACCAGTTTGTTCAGACTCTTCTTCTCAGCAGCCGTGATGCTCCAGCAGACCATCCGCCCCCACCGAGTCATAAAAAGTCCTTAGGAGGACTTCCTGCACACTGAAGGTGTTGATTAGGTGTTGAGGTTACTGCCACAAAAACGGCTAATATTAACATTCGAAAGAAAAAGGACTGTAGTTTTCTTGATTAAAACACCAATAAAAAGAGTTTTGGGAAGAAAAAATAATTAGCAGCTACATAGACACTCACCGTGTAGAGTACATACAACATTTAGCACCTGCCTGGGTTTCCTCCTGTGACCTCACTCTCTCCTCACCAAAATGGTTGCCGCTCCGGAGCTGTTTCACTGCTGAACGGCTACTCACGGTTGCTAGGCAACATCACAACGCCGTGTGTGGAGGAGCAGAATGGCTGAGGACCTGAGACGACACCTGACGAGGTCAGTCCACACTGTCTGTCTGTCTGTCTGTCTGTCTGTAGATATTTCCACTCGGCTGCTGCTCATTTCTCAGGGGACTAACCGAGACGTTAACAGCTGGTTAACTCTTGTCAGCTGTTAGTTGGCAGAACTTGTCATCTGGTTATCCAGGTTAGCAAACACTCTGCTGTACAAAGCAGAGCTGAACGTTTTTCCCTCCCTAACTGCCTCTGTGTGTCTCTGCTGTAGAGTGGAGCTGCTTTGGGGTGAATGCTGAGAGATGGGGTCTGAGTCAGTGAAGGTGGTGGTCCGGTGCAGGCCCCTGAATGACCGGGAGAAGGCTCTCAGCTCCAAGATGGTGCTGTCCATGGACCTGCACCGCTGCCAGTGCTTCATAGAAAAACTCGGAGCAGCAGATGAGCCGCCCAAACAGTTTACCTTTGATGGGACCTACTACATTGATCAAACAACTGAGCAGATGTACAATGAGATAGCATATCCTCTGGTGGAGGTAAGGGCTAGTTTGTTGCTTTAATTACCAGCCTTTAACAAAAGTAGCACGCTGGTCACTGGACACCCTCAGTTCAACATCAGCACTCTATATCTTATTGCTAATGACTGCAGACCTCATTATTAACTTAACATTCTGCTGTCAGTCACAAAAGTTCAGCTGAATGTTGATCCTTTAACAAAGCCTCATGCAAACTTTTTCATGTTTTCAGGGCGTCACTGAGGGATACAATGGCACTATTTTTGCATATGGACAAACTGGAAGTGGCAAGTCTTTTACCATGCAGGGGGTGACTGAGCCTGCAGGACAGAAGGGCGTCATCCCACGCGCCTTTGAACACATCTTTGAGAGCATTCAGGTATGTAGGGCCAGCTGTTCTCAGCCCTGCAACACATCCACCTTGTGAATTCACAGATGTCATGCCAAAAGTGCAAAATTCTTCTTCTTTCCAGTCTGGAGCAATAGGTTTTTCAGCAGGGGCATGCATGTACAGTGTGATTTATGCAGCTCTTGTTTTGTTTGCTCAGCAAGAACAGCTATACTGTGTGTTTTATGTTTCTGTGCAAGCTAGTGTGCAGAAAATACCAAATTCCTGGTGAGGGCCTCTTACTTGGAGATTTACAATGAAGAAATCAGAGACCTTTTGGGAAGCGACACCAAACAGAGACTGGAGGTAAGTAAGTTAAACAAATCAGGCCACACTGTGTAACAGTAGAAGCCAAAGTGATGAAGGTTGTTTGCTAAGTACAATAATTATGAAACCTGTTTCTTAGACGTGTCTCCGACTGCACACAGCGCTTATGTTTTGTACACAATACTGTACATGTTGCTATGGTGATTTAAAAGCACAGCTGGTTGTGTGATTCCTCAAAGATCAAGGTGTTTGATCAGAACGATCGATTTTGATTGTGTGTGTGTCTTTGTGTGTGTGTGTGTGGTTGATGAATGCCTAGCTGAAAGAGCACCCAGAGCGAGGGGTGTATGTGCGGGACCTCTCCATGCACACTGTGCACAGTGTGGGGGAGTGTGAGAGAATCATAGAGCAAGGCTGGAGGAACCGGGCCGTGGGCTACACACTGATGAACAAAGACTCCTCCCGCTCCCACTCCATCTTCACCATCCACCTGGAGATCTGTAACACTGGTGAACACAGTTATATAACTCCCTCAACACATAATATTGTCTGTTGAATGTGTTTTTTTAATATGATTGCATATGATCATATTATGTCTCATAATGTCACCAGTAGTTCACCATCAAAGGGTTGTTTTTCTTTGTGCCTTTTTTTTCATAAAGTTTGTCAAGGGCTCTCAGAAAATGAGTATTTGCATGTTTAATACAGTCAAAAGTGGCCTAACTAAAAATATATAAGCAAAAATGGCTTGAAAATGCAACAATCAAGGCAACACATCCAAGTTATTAGCTCTTTCAGTACTGCTTGGATGCATTTCTCAAGGTAAATATTGGTCCACAGAAATGGAATAATATAACCTGCCCCTAAAAATATAGGCCCAAAAAATGCAAAATGTGTTGCCAATAGGTGTATGCTTTATAGTTTTCAGTATTTGTAGTTGACCTTGCTCAGTGTAACATACTGATATAAACCTTGAAGTTGTAGTTTCCCTCCTTTATCACCCTTCTCAGATGCTGCTGGCCAGGACCACCTGCGAGCAGGAAAACTCAACCTTGTGGATCTGGCAGGAAGTGAGCGTCAGTCCAAAACTGGCGCTACTGGTGAGCGACTCCGCGAGGCCACGAAGATCAACCTCTCCCTCTCGGCCCTCGGCAACGTCATCTCTGCCCTGGTGGATGGACGCTCCAAGTATATCCCCTACCGGGACTCCAAACTGACCAGGCTGCTGCAGGACTCTCTGGGAGGAAACACGCGCACCTTGATGATCGCCTGCCTCTCACCCGCAGACAACAACTACGAGGAAAGCCTGAGCACGCTGCGCTACGCAAACCGGGCCAAGAGCATCCAGAACAGGCCTCGCATCAATGAGGATCCCAAGGATGCTCTGCTCCGAGAGTATCAGGAGGAGATCAAGAAGTTGCGGGCCCTCATCTCAGGCCAGCTGGGCACTGCTGACCTGACATGCAAGTGATAAATGTTGTTGCCAGCCTTTCAATATAGAGAAACAATATCTAAATGTAGATTTTGCATTTGCTTGTTTGCTATAAGGGATGTTTTTTATCACATTTTATTTAAAAAAAAAAAAAAAAACTCTTTCAAAAATACATTTTTTCCCCTTTTGTTTAATATGCAGCTCTGCTGGCTGGTCAGATTTCTGAGGCATCCCCTGTTGTTCCTTCAAGGCCATTATCCAGCACTACTGAAGCGAAGAAGGAAAAGATTAAAGAGGCAAACACAGACCATTCCCACACCAATATATCACTTCACATCTATGCACGCATTGTGTAAGAACCAGGTAATTTATGGTCCGTATTCTGCTTTCTCCACAGGAATACGAAGAGAAGCTTGCCAAGTTGCAGGCTGAGTACAATGCAGAGCAGGAATCCAAGGCAAAGCTGCAGGAGGACATTGCTGCTCTGCGTTCCTCCTATGAATCAAAGCTGTCTCATCTGGAGAAGGCCCGAGCCAGCAGGGGGAGCTCTGTCCATAAAAATGGTAAGAGAAAACCATCTGCCCACAACAAAGAACCATGTAACTACTTTATAAATTGGTGTTGTCAAAAAGCACTTGTAAATCAACGCTACTGACAAACATACAAATTGGTGACATTGTAGTAAATGATTGTGCTGTTTTTGCGTGTCTACTCCACGTTGTACTGACACTGCTTTGCACTGTAATGCTTCTCAGCATCAGTGAGCTCTAGTTGTATGACCCAGGTTGCAGAGGAAGAGCTGTGTCTCAACACTGATCCCATGTGCCACAGTACAACTGGAGACACTTCCCCTACCAAGGTACTGTACACCACCATCCTTCAACAGAACTACTGATTATTCAGTTAAAGTTCTGTAATGAGACATGAAAACTATTATGGATCCTTCTTATTGGCTGTTATTCCCTGCTGTTGGTGAGCCAGCCTGCTGTACATTGTGCACCAGCCAGTGTCCAAAAAGGTCCAGATGGAGAAGGGCTCATAGAGGAAACTGATGTCAGCACAGCCGGACCTCTGGACCAGAAACACGTCCTGGAAAGGTTTGTGGGCTTGTACGGTAAACACACAGTGACCCCTTTGAAACAATTGATTTCAGGGACATAACATGCTGTTCTTACCGTGAAAACTGCTTGTAATTCATATCTGTGTAATACAGTGTGTCTTAGTTGTGTTTTTTTCAGCACAGTGCATGCTATTCTGAATATGTTGTCATAATTGTATCTCACATGCCCTTATGGCAGTACATGACAGATACGTCATGCTTACACCACTAGTTAAAGATGTTATAAATAATCA